AAAAAAAAAAAAAAAAAGACAGTTCTGTGGATCGGCAGGTGGTGTGGTGGTATAGAAGTTCTAGACTCCCACGTGGCCAACTGAGGTTTGAGTCTCGGACCTGGTGACTTGTCCTTTCTCTCTCTCTCTCTCTCGCCTTTCTCTGGTCAAGTTCAAAAATAATGATAATGATAAATAAAGTTAAATAAAATAATTCTTTAAAAAAAAATGACAATTCTGGGATTGGCCTCATAGCACAGTGGTTAAGCTCTGTGCATTGGAAACTAGATCCTACATGGCCCACAATCCTAGCTGCTATAGCTTCAAAGACCTGTCAAGCATGTATGTGTGCATATGTGTGTGCCTAAATCCTGATGAGATGGAGAAGTAGAGGAAAAATAATTGCTACATGACCACATCTCATCAGAAGTTGCTCTCTCGGGACCAGCTGATGATGTAATGGTTATGTCACTGGAATCCCACGTAGTCGACTGCAGTTCGAGTCCCAGACCTGGTGGCCTAAAACTCACATGGGCACATGTGCATGCATTCTCAAAATCCCAAGAGGAGAATGAAGGAGAAGGGATTATGGCATGGCCATCCCCCCCCCCGGTGGCGGGGGGGCAATGATTTCTCACTTCCTGTCTGTGTCTCTCTGTCTCTCCAGCAAGTGCACACACCCTATAGCAAAACTCTCTTAAAAAAAATAATAAATTAAAAATTAAAAGGAATGAAGGTACTCACTCTTACTCTCTCTCTCTCTGGTGTGTGCATATGGCATTTGGTCATTAAGGAAAAAAAAGACAATTATGGGGCTGGCTCTATGGTACAGGAATAACACTCTGTTCAAGAGAACTAGGATCCCACATGGCGACCACAATTTAAATCGTCAGCCCAGTCAGCCTGAAATATATCAGGCACATGTGCAAGCACCCAGGATCCAGTGGGCTACAGTACTGGAGAAAGGGGATTGCAATGTGGCCACACCATGTGGAAAGTGCTCATTTTTCTCTCTTACTCACACATGCATGTATACATGCTCTCCTACAAATAGAGATTTCTTTTTTTCCCTATAGGGCACATGCACTCACCAGAGAGAGAGAAGGAAAGTAAGAAATCACTCCTCAGGGGGATGGCCATACCACAATCCCTTCTCTTCTATTCTCCTCTTGGGGGATTTTAGGCACACATGCACAAGCATTCAGAGTTATTTTTCAAGCTGCTGGGTTCAGGACTCAACCAAGCAGTTGGACATGTGGGACCCAATGCCTTAACTCCATGCCACCTGCTGGCCCAAGAAAAAAAAAATGAACAGTAATTGTGTAGCCATGTCATAAATGCATGTGTCAAAATATAAAAATGCTAATGTTACAATGTTTTTTTAAGAATTATTTTATTTAACTTTATTTCTTTATTTACTTTTTTAATTTGACCAGAGAGGGACAGAGTAAGAGAGGGAAAGTGAAAAAGTAAGCTGCCAGGTTCGGAACTTGAACCATGGTGGGCCATGTAGGATGCGCCCTTAACCACCATGCCACTTGCTGGCCCCAAATGTTACAATGTTAAAGGGGGGAAAAAACAATCATCTATGTTTAATGTGGTGGCTACTGCTAAGAAAATGAGGCATAAGAAAACAACCACACTCCACATCTGATGAATGTAAGCAAGGCTAAGTCCTTTGCCATCAAGGAATATTCTTCTCATTTACAGGTTTGCTCCACATTAAAATAATGACCTCTTTAAAAAAGATTCTGCAGGGGCTGGTAGGTGGTTAAGGGCTCTGGACTCCCACATGGCTGACTGCAGTCCGAATCCCAGACCTGGCGACTTGCTTTCTCACTTTCTCTCTCTCTGGTCAAATTAATAATTAATTAATTAAGTGAAATTTAAAAACTATTTAAAAAATTCTGCAATGCTGTCATGATTTCACATTTTAGTGCAAGAGGCATGTATGAGGTTGTTCATTTTTTGCAGTTATTACATAAGAGCTCTTCAAAAATTTCATGAAAAACGTATATTGTAAAAAAGACTATGGAGTCAGTCTGTGGTGTGGTGGTTAAGGTAGCTTGATCTGACATAGGTGACTACGTGGTTTGAGTCCCATACCTGGCAGATTGCAAAACACACTGGTTGTGTATGTATGTGTGCTCAAAATTCTGAAAGGAGGGAAATGGAGGAGAAGGAATTGTGATATGACCATGCCCCATGGGAGGAGCTTTCTCACTTTCCCTCTCTCTCTCTCTTTGTCCCTCTCTCTAGTGAACATACACGACCTCTACAAATAAATAAATAAATACTATGTATGGATTTTAAAATTTTCTATACCGAAATGAATTCATACTTTAATTCTGTTTCTCCACAAATTCTTTGAAACCTCCCTGTGTACTACATTGTAACACTTTTCTAGATTTTTCATGTGTACATTTAATTTTTCTAGGAAGATTGTAGATTATATGTTCCCTAAAGGCAGAACCCATATTTTCCATTAGTTTTGGCACTGGGTATACAGTAAACAATTAACAATACTTGTTAACTATCTAGTGAGTCACTGAACGGTTGGAACACCTTGTTTTCATTACTAGTGGAAGGTGCAACATAGACAGTAGAGGAAAAGGGGTGTCAGGTAGAGTCAGTTACTGAATGTAACATACCATGTAGCATTTCAATGAGAGAGAGGCCGAAAGTCTGCTGAACTGTACTGAGTCTTAGTTTCCCATCACAGAGAAGCACCGCTCTCTTGTCAACAGGACCTATATAATAAGGTTTCTTCAGATAAAAAACAAAAGTTGTTAAAACTGATTGCAAAAGCAATGGAATTAACATTCTTAATAATAGAAAATGGTGGGGCCAGCAGGTGGCATGGTAGTTAAGAATGCTGGACACCTACATGGCTGCCCACAGTTCCAGTCCCAGACCTGGTAGCTTGCTTTCTCACTTTCCCTTTCTCTGTCTTGCTTTTGCTTTGTCCCTCTCTCATCAAATTTAAAATGAGTAATAAAAGTTAAATAATTTTTTTATTATTTATTTTATTTTATTTATTCATTCATTTATTTTAATTTGATCAGAGAGAGATAGAGAGAGAGAAAGAGAGAGAAAGCAAGCTGCCAGGTCCAGGATTTGAACTGTGGTCAGCCATGTGGGAGTGTCCAGCACCTTAACCACCATGCCACCTGCTGGTCCCTAAAAGTTAAATAATTCTTTTTTTAAAAAAAAGAATATGCAAAAGTCTTAAAATTCTTATCTAAAAATAACACTATCAACTAGAATTTAATTATTTGTTTGTTTGTTTGTTTGAAGGTTCTTGCCACTGGACATGGTGCTTACCTGAGAGAGAGACAGTGAGAGAGAAAATGAGAACTCACCCCCCCCCCAGGGGAGATGGCCCATAGCAATCCCTTCTCCATTCTCCTTTTGGGACTTTGGGTCTGCACACACAGGTGCCTGGTGTGATTTTCAAGTCACCAGGTCCAGGACTCAAACGGTGGTCAGCCATGTGGAAGTCCAGCACTCCAATCACTATGCCACCTTCTGGCCCCCAGGTTTTAGTTTTAAATAAGGAGCTCTTTGTTGCATTATTTAAGACAACTAAAGGATCAGAACAAAACACAACCCCAATTTTACTTTTCTTTTTGTGCTACTCTTTTGTACTACTTAACCTCAGGGTTAAGTCTAACACTAGGGGGGTCCAGCAGGTGTTGTGGTAGTTAAGGTGCTGGATTCCCACATGACCTATCATGGTTAGAGTCAAGGACCCTGTGGCTAGAAAATCACACCAGGTGCCTGTGCAGACATGCCCAAAATCCCCACAGAAGGGAAAAGGGATTTCTAAATGTCCATCCTCCCTGGGGGGTAATTTTTCACTTTCTCTCTCTCTCTGTTTCTTGTTCAGCAAGTGCCCATGTCTTATGGTTTAAAAAAATCCAAACTATTATAGATTTCATATTTAAAAAAAAAATTGCTAGACAATGGATGCACTCATCCAAAGAGAGAAAGAAGGAAAGTGAAAAATCACCTTCCATGGAGATGGTCAAGCAGTAATCCCTTCTCTATTTCCCTACTTTGGGAATTTGTGGTACACATGCACATGTACCCTGCATGTTTTTCTAGCCACCAGGGCCAGGACTCAAACCATGCAGTGAACCATGTTGGATCCAGCTCCCTTAATTACCAAGCCACAAGCTGACCCAAGATGGATTTTTTTTTTTTTTGAGAGGTTTTTGCTATAGGGCCTGGGCACTTGCCTGAAAGACAGAGAGCGGCAGAAAGAGAGAGAGACAGAAAGCAAGAAATCACCCCCTGGGGAGGATGGCCACGCTGCAATCCCTTCGCCTCCATCCTCCTCTCAGGATCTTGGGCACGCACGCACATGCGCCCGGCATGAATTTAAGCCATCAGGTCCAGGACTCAAACCATGCAGTGAACCATGTTGGATCCAGCTCCCTTAATTACCAAGCCACAAGCTGACCCAAGATGGATTTTTTTTTTTTTGAGAGGTTTTTGCTATAGGGCCTGGGCACTTGCCTGAAAGACAGAGAGCGGCAGAAAGAGAGAGAGACAGAAAGCAAGAAATCACCCCCTGGGGAGGATGGCCACGCTGCAATCCCTTCGCCTCCATCCTCCTCTCAGGATCTTGGGCACGCACGCACACGCACCCGGCGTGAGTTTTAAGCCGCCGGGTCCGGGACACGAACCACGGTCGACTACGTGGGAGTCCAGCGACATAGCCATTACGCTAACTGCTGGTTCCCTCCAAGAGGCATTTTTAATAATGTTGCTAACACAATCAATAATCTCTTAGAAAAAGGAAGTGAACCATACATAAAACAAACATTAAAGATGAAAAACATAAATGTGAAAATAAAAATAATAATATATTCTGAAGGAAATCATCATAATTGCATGTGTGTTCATTTCTTTTTTTCAAAAAAGAATTTTATAACTATTATTATTATTATTTTAGAGAAGTTTTTGCTATAGGTCATGTGCACTTGCCAGAAAGACAGAGAAAACAGAAAGAAAGAAATCACCCCCCAGGGAGGATGGCCACTCCGCAACCCCTTCTCCTCCATTCTCCTCTCAGGATCTTGGGCATGCATGCACACATGCCCAGTGTGAGTTTCAAGCCACCAAGTCTGGGACTCGAACCACGGTCAACTACATGGGAACCCAATGACCCAGCCATTATGCCAACTTCTGGTCCCACTATTATTATTTTTTAAAGAATTACTTTATTTAACTTTATTTTGACCAGAGAAGGGCAGAGTGAAAGAGAGAGGGAAAGTAAGAAAGTAAGCCGCCAGGTCTAGGACTCAGACCACTTGTTGGCCATGTGGGAATCTAGCACCCTTAATCGCCATACCACCTGCTGGTCCTTATTATTATTTTTTTTAAATTTTATCATAGAGACACAGAGAAAGAGAAAGAGAGAGAAAGTGAGAAAGCAAGCCACCACGTCCAGGATTTGACCCATGGATGGCCATGTAAGAGTCCAGCACCTTAACCACCACACCACCTGCCAGCTCCCATGCGTGTTCATTTCTATATTATAAAAAAAATTCTTATAAATTGTGACCCAGAGATAGGGTCCAGCAGATGGTATAATAGTTACGTCACTGAACTCCCATGTAGTCAACCATGGTTTGAGTCCCAGACCAGGCAGCTTAAAACTCATGCCAGGTGTGTATGCATGCAGACCCAAAAATCCCGAGACAAGAATGAAGGAGAAAGGATTGTGGTATGGCCATCCCCCCTGGGGGATGATTTCTCGCTTTCTTTCTCTCTGGTGAGCACATGCACCCTATAGCAATAATCTCTCTTTAAGGAAAAAAAACATGTGACCCTGTGGCCATAAGCAATTCACATTCAATTAACAAAAACACATGAAACCTACTCAAATTCACTAATAAAAGAAATATAGGGACCAGCAGATGGCGTAATTGTTACGTTGCTGAACTCCAACATAATTGACCAGGCTTTGAGTCCTGGACCCAGTGGCTTGAAACTCACGCTGGGTGTGTATGCTTGGATGCCCAAGATCCCAAGAGGAGAATGGAGTAGAAGGGACTGTGGTGTGTCCATCAGTGGTGGGTGATTTATATTTCCCTGTCTCTCTGTCTCACTCCATCTCTCTGGCAAGCGCATACACCCTATAGCAAAAATTTCTATCTGAAAAAGAAAGAAAAGAAAAGAAAAGAAAAACAATACAGGGCCAGCCCTATGGCCTGGTGGCCAGGGAGCTGGAATACACATGGCTGACAGCTTGGTTCAAATACTGGACCTGCGGTTTGAGAAACAAACCAGGTGTGTGTGCATGTATACCCAAAATCCAGCAAGGATTGAAAAATGGAAAAGGGATTGTGGTGTGGCCATGCTCCATTGAGGGGTGCTTTCTGTCTGTCTCTGTCTCTCTCCGGTGAGCATACACACTCTCTAGCAAACTAACAACAAAAAACATGGGGCCAGTCCATGGTATGGGGTTAAGGCAGCTAGATCCCACATGGCCTACTGCAAGATTCAAGCGTCAGACCTGATGACATGAGAAACACACTGGGCACATGTGTGTGCATGCCCAAAATCCTGAAAGTTTTAGGGGGGAAAGAGAGAGGAGAAAGGATTGTGGCATGACCATTTTCCACAAGGGTGCTTTGTCACTTTCCCTTTCTCTGAGAAGCACATGTGCCCTCTAGCAAAATATATATACATATAAAGGAAATACAACTTAATAAAAGTGAAATAACACTTCACACTGAACAGACTGGAGAGATACGAGGAAAAGAATAGGCTCATATTTTATTGGAACAAGTATGATGAGCGATTGCTAAGCAGAAAATTTTGAAAGGTGATCTGGCAAGTCCTGGACCCAGGAGCTTAAAAACTCACACCAGGGGACCAGCAGTTGGCGTAATGGCTATGTCACTGGATTCCAATGTAGTCGGCCACAGTTCGAGTCCTGGACCCGGTGACTTAAACTCATGCACCAGGCGTGTGTGCATGCATGCCTGTGATCTCGAGGGGAGAATGGAGGAGAAGCAACTGTGGTGTGGCCATCCCCCCTGGGGGGTAATTTCTCACTTTCTATCTCTCTCTGTTTCTCTGGTGAGTGCACTCGTCCTATAGCAAAAATCTCTTAAAAAGAGAGAGAGAGAGAGAAAGACATATACTCTTTAAATTTGTACTACCACTTCTGGAAACAATCCAATAGAAATAAAGGTACTAATAAAAAAAATGGATACATGTAAAAATAATGTTGCAAGACTTATACAAATTGCTAAGTACTGAAAATCAAGGTAGTGTTGATCAACAAGGGAATGGCTAGAAAGACAGCAAGGAGTAACCACATGATCCTGTTTTGTAAAATTGCAACAAACTACCCAAAGCAAATCTATCTATGTGTACAAAGATCTGTTAAGACTATACAAGCATGGTGAATAATATGGAAGGACTTACATTAAGCTGTTGGTTAAAATGGGTTATGGGGAGAATGGGATATAGCCACATTTGAGGTGGAAGGAAAGTGACCATGACAAAAACATGTATAGGGGTCAGTCAGAGGTAGTGGTTAAGGGTCTGGTTGCCAGCCTGGTCTAAGTCCCAGAACCCACAGCTTAAAACTTCTTCACAATCTAAATGATGTATAGCAATTTAATGTATGACTAATAATAAAAAAGAATTATAAAATAAAAAAAAATGCCAGACACATGTGCATACATGCCCCCCCAAAAAAAAAAAAGTACTGAGAGGAGAATGGAGGAGAGGGATCAAGGCACAGCCATCTCCCATGGGAGGTGCTTTCTCATTCCCCTGCTCCTCACCCCATCTCTCTCCAGCAAGCACGTGCACTCTATGTCAAATTAAAAAAAGAAAAATTTTTCCTGGGCCAGCCAATTAAGGTGGCTGGATTCCCAAATGGGCGACTACATGGTCCCAAATCCAGTGGCTTGAAAAACACACCATGCACATGTACATGAGTGCCTAAAATCTTGAAAGGAGAAATAGAGAAGGGACTGTGGCATGACCATCTCCCGTGGGGAAGTTGCTTTCTCACTTTCTCTCTCTCTCTCTCTCTCTCTCTCTCTCTCTCTCCCCCTCCCTCCTCCCTCCCTCTTCCCCCCTGAACCCTCCCAAGCAACTACTAGAGCCTGCTAGCAAATTTTAAAATATTTTTTCTTATGAGACCAGCAGATGGCATAATGACTATGTTGCTGGACTCCCATGTAGTTGACCACAGTTCAAGTCCCAGACCCGGTGGCTTAAACTCACACTGGGCACATGTACATGCATGCCCAAGATCCCAAGAGGATAATGGAGGAGAAGGGATTGTGGTATGGCCATCCCCCCTGGTGGGGTGATTTCTCACTTTCTGTTTCTGTGTTTCTTGCAAGCATACATGCCCTATGGCAAAAACTTCTCCAAAAAATTGTATTTCTTAAATATAAATCACCAAGAAGAATGTAGTAATGAGGCTGCAGGTGGGTGGTGGTTGACGTGCTGGACTCTCACATGGTCCCCACAGTTCGAGTCTTGGACCAGACAGCTTTCTCCCTTTCCCTTTCTCTCTCTCAGTCTCTCTCCAGTCAAATTAAAAAAAAATATTAACAAATAGAGTTAAATAAGTAATTTTAAAAAATTAAGTCATTCATATTTTTCATGCCATACCCATGATAAAGTCATGGTGTACACTGGTATATGTGTCCATCTGGTTGGCAAGTTAACATCCAACCAATTAGCAACTTGCCTATAACAAGCCAGTTCAGTGAAGTTCAATTATAGCACCACCTTCCTCATCAACACATGTTCTTGCAGTACTAACTGGCTATAAGAACTATTTTTTTAAGTTGAGTTTAGTTTCTTTCTTTCATGACAGAGAGAAAGAGAGAGAAAGAGATGCCCTTGACAGAATCTCCCACACAGAATTTTCTCCAGGCTCCCAGCCAGCCAGAACCATAGGCATACACAGTGTTCGGGTTGATCTAGGATCTGAACCCGAGCCTCCCATTTGGCTCCACAATAGTACACCAGCACCCTAATGCCTGTACCACCCAGCTAGGGCTGCAAGAGCTTTTATATAGGGTGGTAGCTCCTCAAAGGAGAAGTTACCTGATAAATGATGTGAACATAAGGCAGATCTTGAGAGAGTGGATATGCTGGAGAGAACTTCTTCTCATTATGTAGAAAGTCTGTGAGTTCAGAAAGACGTTGTTGCATTTCGATCAGGTTTTTGGATAAAATTTCCAGTTCCTTAGAAAGCTGGTAAGTTTCCTTTTCCCCTTGTAAGTTCCTTCTTTGAGGCAAATGAGGAGGTTCCATTGTGCTGGTGTCATCTGGTGTTCTGAACTCTGTTGCCCAGACCCAGCCAGGCTTATGAAGTATTTCTGTTGCAGTGGAACCATCACAGCTACTAGATGGAGGACTTTTGATTTCTTTAATCATGGTTCTTCCAGGCCTTTCATTCTGACTACCGGTGTTAGCTGTTAACAAGAACCCTTTGTTTTGGTGACAAAAATCTGGGGAAAAACTTTTAGGTAACTTTTTTCTATTCATTTTGTTTAAAAGAACACTGAAGGGAGGGTAGGCACTTTGGCTTTCATCCAACATTATTGAAGATTCTTCTTCCAACATTACTTCTCTCACAATCAAGCGGATGACATACTGCTCAGTCTCTGAAGAAGGAAGAAATGCTGTATCTGCAGACTTTTGTTTTCCCACTAAAATTAATAATAATTTGTCTGTCAAGAAACATATGCCTTTCGGTCTTTCACTACTCTCTAACTGAATCTGTTGTATGTTTGGCATAGAAGATGGAAAGACAGAATAGATCAAAATGCTATTACAAGTATTGGAAGCCACTGCCACTACCTGGGCTTTAAGGTTAAATGCTATTAGATCAGGAACCAGAATGCCTGGAATGGTGACTTTTTTGGTCGTGGTAACTGCTTTCTTAAAGGTCACAAGGACCAAATGAGAAGAATCCTGGCCAGTTCCTGTCAAGTAGTCCTTTTTTCTTAGACAAATAAGAGAACTACCCTCAGACTTCTGTCGATTGAAATGTATGTGAGTTAGATCCAGCGGATCTGAATAGTAAGAAGAAACGGGAGGAGAAACTGATTCTTCAGAATTTGTTTCGGAAGTAATTGCCCCCTTATCCACAGAAGGTAGCTCATCAATAATTGGTAAAGTACATGGACAAGTATCTTCACCATTGAGGGGATTATCAAAGGTTTCAGATTCATTTAAACCACAAATCTTAGCTAGTGGAAGCTCTGTGGCTATGGCAACCTGTGAGTCCACAGTGGCTCGGATGGCACTGATGGAGCTGACCACATCAAACACTGGGCAAAAGGAGCACCTGTGCAGGGCCTTCTGAGCACTGTCCCAGATATAAGAGTGCAGGCTGCTGCCTACTGCCACCACCAGCCTCTGGCCATCCTGAGTCCAAGATGCACAGTGAATGCGGTACTGAGCATTGATGTCCACTTTTACCTGAGAACTGTCACGGTGTACATTAGGGAAAACAGAGACATTCTGTGCAGTCAGCACAGCCAGGATAGCATTTTTTGGGTGCCACACACAGCCCTGGGGAAGGACAGAGAGTGATTCTCTAATCTCACAGGTCTGAGACATCAGCCATTTGCTTGTTTCCGTAGTGCTGAGACACATCTGCCATACAGTGACATGCTTCTTGTGCTGGACAGCAAGCAGAGCAGGTGTGTCAGCTGTACCAGGGGGCGCCCAGGACAGGGCACAGACGTGTTCAAACTGTCCAATGACTTTGGAGTCCCCAAACTGGGCCTCTCCGCTGTGAAGCTGTAAATCAGTCAACACTACCTGACTCCCATCAGTCCAGGCCAGGCCATGAGTTGGGTGTATTGCTTGATACAATATATTTAGTCCAGTCCTGAGCAGTTTCCCTTTTCCCAACTCCATACTTTCTCACAAAAGTTATCTGAAATGATTAAGAAGGAAAGTGACACCATGAGGAAATAATCAGACAAGTACTGAACGTTGGACATTTTATAAGACAGCTGGTCTAGACCCTTCATAGTGAGAGGATCAGAAGACAAGAGGAATGTTAGAAAGTAAGAGACGGTCAGCAGGTGGCATAGTGATTACGACAGTGGACTCTCACATGGCCGATTGACCAGGTGGCTTGAAACATATACTAGGCGTGTGTACCCAAAATCCTGAGAGAATGGAGAAGGGACTGCAGTGTGGCTATCCTCCCTGGGGAGTGATTTCTCACTTTCTATCTCTCTGTCTCTCTAGTGACTGCACACATTCTATAGCAAAAATCTCTCAAAAAAAAAAAAAGAAAGAAAGAAAGGAAATTAAGAGACAACTGAGTCAGCAATAGCAAATGCAATGTATAAACTTTGATGAAATCTGGAAGAAATAAAGTCTACCAAAAATAAGATATCTTTAGGTCTGGCCACGGTGGCACTAACAGTAAGGTGCCACTCTGTAGTGCTGGAGACACATGGACCATGGTTTAGATTCCAAGTCATCCTGAAGCACACAGGGTGTGGGTGTATACACCCATTATCCTGGCTGGCTAGAAGGATTGCAGGGTGAGTATCATGGCGTGATCCCCACCAAAGGTACCTGTTTCTCTCTCTCGTGTAAGAAATTCACACACACAAAAAATCTTGGGCTAGATAGTGGTGAGGTAGTTAAGGAGACTGGATTCCATATGGTCAATTTTGTGGATGGAGTCTCAGACCTGGAGGCTTGAAAAACACTCTGAGTGTGTGTGCCTGTGTGACCAAAGTCCCAAAAGAAGAAATGAAGGAGAAAGGATTGTGATGTGACCATCCCCCATAGGAGTGCTTTCTCATCCCCCGTGAACAGTCTCTTACTGGCAAAGTACCTGTGCCCTCTAGCAAATTAAAAAAAGAAATTTTAGAAATGGAGAAACTTGAATACAGAATGGATATTAGAAGGTATTATGGAATGGGACCAGCAGCTGGTGTAATGGCTATGTCACTGGACACCCATGTAGTCGACTGCGGTTCAAGTCCTGAACCCAGTGGCTTAAACTCACACCAGGCATATTTGCGTGCGTGCCCAAGATCCCGAGAGAAGAATGGAGAAGGGACTGCGGCATGGCCATCCCCCCAGGGGGGTGATTTCTTGCTTTCTGTCTCTCTGTCTCTCTCTGTCTTCCTGGCAAGCGCACATGCCCTATAGCAAAAACTTCTCAAAAAAAAAAAAATTAAAAGCATTGCTAATTAAAACTACAAAAACATAATGGAAATTATGTGTCATGTTTTTTCTTTCAAAGAAAAGATTTCAAAAGTCAGATTTCTTGGGTACTTGAAACAGAAACTGCTCTACCTAACTTGTGGAAAAATAAAAGGCTCAAGAACCAAGCTCAGAGACAGAAAGTAAAATGGCGGTTGCCAGGGCTGGGAGGGAGAAAACAGAGCATTGTTTAATAGGGCATTATTGTTATACAAGATGAAAAGAACTGTGGAGATGGCTAGTTGTACAATATTGTAAATGTATTTAATGCCACCGAACTGTACACTTAAAAACGGCAGTTGGGGGAACGAGCAGTTAGCGTAATGGCTATGTCGCTGGACTCCCACGTAGTCGACCGCGGTTCGCGTCCCGGACCCGGTGGCTTAAAACTCACGCCGGGCGCGTGTGCGTGCGTGCCCAAGATCCCGAGAGGAGAATGGAGGAGAAGGGATTGCGGAGTGACCATCCCCCCTGGGGGGTGATTTCTCGCTTTCTGTCTCTATGTCTCTCTCTCTGTCTGTCTGGCGAGCGCACGCGCCCTACAGTGAAAATCTCTCCAAAAAACCAAACAAACAAACAAACAAACAAAAAAACGGCAGTTGGACTGGAGGTTAAGGCAACTAGACTCCCACATGGCTGACCACAGTTTGAGTCCTAGACCTGGCAGCTTGCTTTCTCACTTTCTTTTTCTCTCTCTGTCTCTCTCTGGTCAACCTCAATAATAATAATAATAATAATAATAATGAAAATAAAAAATAAAATAATTTTTAATGGCTAAATATATAGCACTGGCCCCACAGCACAGCAGTTAAGCACTGTACAAATTCACATGGCTGACCAGAGTTTGAATCCTGTCACAGTGGCAACACAGCTGGCACACACATTGTATGCCCAAAATCCTCAAGGGAATTGGAAGGAAAAGGACTGCAGCATGACAAGACCCCTTTTAGGGATGCTCCCTGCCCACATCTTGTGCACACACATGCCCTCTGGCATTAAAAAAAAAAAAAAAAAAAGAAAGGGTAAGACAAATTTTATGTCATGTGTGTTTTTTATAATTATTTACTTTTATCATTATTATTATTTTAATTTGATCAGAGAGAGAGAGAGAGAGAGAGAAAATGAGAAAGCAAACTGCCAGGTCCAGGACTCGAACTGCAGTCAGTCGTATGGGAGTCCAGTGCTTCAACCACCACACCACCTGCCAGCCCCATGTTATGTGTATTTTATAAGAAAAAATTAGGGACTGGTTCCATGGCCTGGTGGTTAAGGCAGCTGGAATCGACAAGTCAGTCCTGCTAACACCATCCTGAATCAGAACATCCCAAATATAGGTCACCTCCTATTTTCCCTATCCTCCCTATACTCCATCCTGTACAAGACCAATCTTAGAATGTCACCCTTTTTTAAATTTGTCAGAGGATGCATGCTGCCAAAGAGAGAATAGGGTACAAGGGGAGCATTTCCCAATGGAGCATGGTCCCTCTTCCCCCATTGCTCCATCCTGTCAGGATTTGGGGCGTGCCCACACATATGCACACATTTGCACACGCCCATATACCCAGTGTGTTTTTCAAGCTGCTGGGGCCAGGATTCAAACTTAGCAGTTGGGGACAAACAGATAGCATAATGGTTACTTTGCTGGGCTCCCACATAGTCAACTACGGTTCAAGTCCGGACCTGGTGCCTTAAAACTCATGCCAGGTGAGTGGGCGTGCATGTATGCCCAAGATCCCAAGAGGAGAATGGAGAAGAAGGGACTGCAGCGTCGCCATGCCCATGGGGGGGGGGGGTGATTTTCTTGCTTTCTGTCTCTCCAGCCAGTACATGTGCCCTATAACAAAAATCTCTCCTAAAAAATTTTTTTAGTACATAATTTATTAGCTTAAAAATAATGAGTTTGGGACCAGCAGATGGTATAACGGTTACATCACTGGACTCCCACATAGTTGATCATAGTTTGAGTCATGGACCAGGCAGCTCAAAACTCACGCCAGGTACGTGTGCACGTGTGTCCAAAATCCTGAGAGGAGAATGGAGAAGGGATTGCAGTGTGGTCGTCCCCCAGGGCGGGGGGAGAAGGGGGCTGATTTCCCGCTTTCTATCTCTATCTCTCTCTGTCTCTCCAGTGAGCACACATGCCCTATAGAAAAAAATCTCTCTTAAAAAAAAAAAAGGAACCAGCAGATGATGTAATGGTTATGTTGCTGCACTCGCATGTCGACTACAGTTCAAGTCCCAAACCCAGTAGCTTAAAACTCACACCAGGGGGACCAGCAGTTAGCATAATGGCTGTCACTGGACTCCCACGTAGTCGACCGTGGTTCGCATCCCAGACCTGCTAGCTTAAAACTCAAGCCGGGCGTGAGTGCGTGTGTGCCCAAGATCCTGAGAGGAGAATGGAGGAGAAGGGATTGCAGCATGGCCATCCCCCCTGGGGGGTGATTTCTCGCTTTCTGTCTCTCTGTTTCTCTCTGTCTGTCTGGTGAGCACACGCGCAAAAACCTCTCAAAAAACAAACAAACAAACAAAAAAAACCTCACACCAGGCACATGCATATGGATGCCCAAAATCCCCAGAGGACAATGGAGAAGGGATTGCAGCATGGTCATCCTCCTGGGGCGGTGATTTCTCACTTTCTGTCTGTCTCTGCTTCTCCAGTGACTACATGCACCCGGTTTATAGCAAAACTCTCTCTAAAAAAAAATCCAACAAAACGAAACAAAAGCAAAACAAAACAAAATGATGAGGTTACCTACTTCTAATAGTCACATTGTCCAAGAGAGTAGTTACTAGTCACATATGCTACTGGACTTAACTGTCTCTCCAGCCTTATTTCCTATTTCTTTCTACATTCATAGTTTTAATGTTTGGCACATTCAAAACACTTTGGCAAATGAGTTGAATTAAAAGCCAATTTTAAATACTATTTCCTCAGAAAGGCCTTTCTTAATTGAACAACTAAAAGTGATTCTTTCTGGGGGCCAGCAGGTGGCATGGTGGTTAAGGTGCAGGATACCACATAGCTGACTGTACCGTTCAACACTAGGACCTGGCAGCTTGAAAATCATACCAGGAACATGTGTGCATGCCCAAAATGATGAGAGGAGAATAGAGAAAGGACCACGGCATTGCCATCCCCCCCAAGAGGTGATTTCTCACTTTCAATCTCTTTGGCAAGTGCATGTATCCTATAGCCAAAAAAATAAAAAATAAATAAATAGGTTCTTTCCTCTTTATGAACTCCTATAGCCTTTACAGTTTAACTATTCATGTGACCTCTTCACTTCATTACCTGGAATCATTAGTTACTTTTTAATTTATTATATCTTGTCTTCCCAGTTACTGAACAAAGTCCTTGAAAGCAGGAACTGGATATGACTTGCTTGCTCCTACCACACTAAACAAACACTGACAAGTATTTTGGGATGGATAGTTCTGTAATGATTCATGAGTTTCCACTTGGGTCATGATACTATCAACAATTATACAAGGGACTTCAAAAACTTCATGAAAACTGGGATTAAAGTATGAGTTTAGGGACCAGCAGATGGTGTTAATGGTTACTTTGCTAGACTCCCATGTAGTTGATCATGGTTTGAGTCTCAGACCCAGCGGCTTAAAACTCATACCAGGTGTTTGTGCATGCATGGCCATAATCCCAAGAGGAGAATGGAAGAGGAGGGATTGGAGCATGACCATCCC